TAGTTCTGTAGACATCTATATACTTGTTTTATTCTTTTATTCACATGTGCATACATTGTTTGGGTCATTATATACTTTTTATTTATACACTTTTTTTGTTGCTGGGAATTGAACCTAAGGCATGCTAGGTAAATGTTTTACCACTGCCTGACATGTATATTTTTAAAAAACATACAGTGTTTTTGTGTATGCTTTAAATAGAACCTGTGAAAACTGCTTTTGTTAATAAACAAAAGAAAGTAGTTCTGAGAAACTTTGTTTCCTAGAATCATAGATGTCAGAAACTTTGCTATTTGAAATCTTATCAGCAAGACTGAAACATTCCACATTTGCCTGGAGGGTCTGAGTCATTTTGACATATCAAAGCAGCCAAGTGCACAACTTCAGATACAGGGTTTTGGATACAACATTCTGTTCATTTTAATGTAGTAGTTTCCAAGGAAACAGGCCCCTGAACCTGCTTCTTATCCAGGCCTGTTATTAACCCCTGTACATTGTCTTGCTTTAATTTTAGCCTGTCAAAACTTCACTCCATTTAAACTCTACGTCACCTCTACCCTTCCTCAATATTCCCTAGGAAGCTTGTCCTTCCTGTGTTTGGTGGGACACCCATGTTTATCCGGTGAATGTTTCCCCTTGTTGCAACAAGTTAATAAACTTGACTATTATTAGACTACAGTTTTGTTCCTGATGGTCTTTTTCACATGGGCTTTATAAAAATACATATTCATGATATTATGGAAGATCTTGTTCTTTTATTTTCTTACTTTTTAGACATCCACACCAACATTTGAAAGAGATATATATCCATGTCGCTGTATGTAAATCTAATTCATTACTTTCAACTTCTGAATAGAACTCAGTCTTCACTCCCACACACCATCTCATTTTATCCATCCTGCTAGAGGTAGGTAACCCGACTTGCTTCCAACTTATTTGCACTACAAACAAGACTCTCTGTATGTATGCATTTCCTCTTGTAGATCTGCTGGAGAATTTTCTGGGATACATACTCTGAAGTGGTCCTGTTGCATTCTAAGGTGTGCTGCCAGAATAGTAGCTTCCATACGCATCTTTGCCAGAACTTGGTATTACTTACTGCTTTCCCATTTTCCCCAATTACATGGGCATAATGTGGTATTCTATTTTTTGCTCTGGTTTGCATTTCTTTGAGCACAAGTAAAGTCAAACATCCTTTCTGTGAGAATCATGCTCACCTGTACAAACTCAAAGAATGGACTCAAAGATACTTGAAGTACAGCACAAGCGAGACTTTAATGCAGTCTTGAAAGATCAGGTGTCTAGTTGGCAGGCACACCCCAGAGTAGTTGCAATAGGCATTTTATCCCTAGTGTGCAGGTCCCTCCCCTGGTTTCTCACTGGCTGACTACTATAGAATCTTCCCAGAAGTTGTCTCTTTGTGACAGAAAGGTCTCCCTGGTGATACATGCTTTCTGGCATGTACCTAGTTTTTACCCATTTCCTCATTTCATCATAGTGTGCCCCTCTCAGTTTAAGTTCCCTTGTCAGTTGGTTGATCCCACCCTGATATCCTGTTTATGACTTCCCAGGTGTATGAGCTTTGTCATGTTCACAAGCAGCCACAGAAGCAGGTTATCAGTAATTTTCCATTGAGGGTTAACTGTTTTACCTTGAGAATGGACCACCACTGACTTTATCCCCAACATTTTCTATATCAATTACCTGTTTGCTTTGCTTCCATGAATTGCTTATTTATATGATTTCTCCCTTTAAAAAGAAAAGAAACCTGAGCTTTCTCTCTTCATATAAATGAAGCATAGGAGTAAGTCTTTACCCTGTTATACTTAAGCAGAAGTATTTTACAATTAACAGCACTTAGACAATAGAATGCTGTACCGTGTGGTTTTTCTGAACACACCAAAGATAATCTCTTGAAATTGTACCATCATAGATTATTTTTGGAGGCAGTGGGGAGAGAAAAAAATGTGGCCAGATTCAGAAGCATAGAAAAGAGGTAAGTGATACCACCATCCAGACTATGGCAGGCAGCCTGGACAAAGAAAAGCCAGAGGAAGAAAGGTAGGTGGTAGTTCCAGAAAAGGCAAGGAGACCAGCTTGAGTAGAAGTATGGACGGGGTTAATTAAATTTGCAAAATAAGATTTAATTGGTAGGAGAACTAGTAGGTCCCTATGGTGGTTAATTTCAGGTGTAGAGTGGATAGGTCCACAGGGTGCCTTGATTGGAGGTAAGACATTATTTCTGGGAATCTCTATGTGGGTGTTTCTGGATGAAATTAGCATTCGAACTGTTAGATTGAATGAAGGAGATTGCCCTCAGGAGTGTAAGTGATCATCATCTAATCTGTTGAGAGCCTGGATAGAACAGAAAGGTGGAAGAAGGGAGAATTCCCCTCTCTCTGTCTGCCTGCTTGAGCTGGTTCAATAGTCTTCTCCTGGCTTCTACTGGAATTTACACCACTTGCCTTCCTGTCCTCAGGCCTTTGGAACCAGACAGAAACTAACCACCAGGTCTCTGGGTCTCTGTCTTGCAAAGTGAAGATCATGAGACTTTTTAGCCTTGATAGTTATGTAAACCAATTCCCAAAATTAAAACCCTTTTAATTTATATAGCATTATACTATATGCCATATATAATATATAAATATCACTATGTAACAAAATAAATAGTAAGTCTTTGTTGTACATATCTGGAAGTATTTACTATAAGAAATTTGTTCATACAGTTATGAAAGATGAGAAGTCCCACAATCTTCTATCTATAGGGTGGCAACCCATGAAAGCCAATTGTGTAGTTCCAGTCTGAGTCCAAGGTCTTTTGGTTCTGTTTCTCTAAAGAGCTCCAACTAACACAGTTCCTGAATGGGGAGGTAACAGTGGTGTTTTAGAAAGTTCAGATTTTCCTATGTTGAAAGACTAAGAAACTAGATCAGTGCTTAGAACAGAGGGTAGGTGGGAGTGAATCTTTATTTGAATTGAGCAGAAAAAATGCTGGATTAATAAAAAAATAATTTGATTAAAAAAGAAAGAGCTATTGCTTATTCTTAGACTTTTGTGTGGTGTTGGACTGGAAATAAGATGATGTCTGAAACGAGCTGCTTTGGGAGGACAAATCAGCCACAGAAGAAGAACATAAGCTGTAATGGTGTTATATTTCAATTTTAATTTGAAAAAGATATGTAGTGTAAGGTGTTCACAACTTCATGATTTTTTCCCCTTTGTTTTCCTGTTACCAGACTCTTCTTTCTGGGCTTTCTAATCACTCTATGTACAAACTCCCATTTGTTAAATAAGGGTTATTTAAAAATTTGTCCATATTCTCTTAAATTCTGAAAAACACCAATTAACCTTTTTATAAAACTTTTCATATTTTTGTGAAACTCAAATGCTATATTTAAAAATGGCAACTCTACCAAACGATACATTTTGTTATAATGATTGATTCATTATAACATTCAGCATCTAGGTGGTAGGTTTTTCGCTAATATAATTGTTAAATTCTCTCAGCAAAGGGCTGACCATCTTCTGGGATTTGGAAATGGCCTCATTATACAGAGCTTGATGTTATACAGTAATGGCATTTATTAGAATGGAATTGTATATGTATTACTACTTCTGACAAGAGCTGGGCTTTTTTAGCATTCTCACAGCATGCAGATTTGGTAATTATGCTAATGTTAGCTGATTCATGAGGACAACTTCCTAAAGTGCACTTAATTAACTTGGAGATTCTGTAAACAGCTGTACATGTAGGTTCCGCAAATTGTGGGGATATGTCAATCTGACGTGTAGAGTCTGCCTTCCTAACCTCATCACTTTTTTTTTTTTTTAACTAAAGTTTGAAACAATGAGAGGCTCCAATCTGGTACCTTCTGAATGAAACAAGTGCTAAAGGAAGATTCTAGGATGTGTCACTTTGTTTTATTATTATTATTGTTATTAGCAGTACTGAGGTTTTGAACTCAGAACCTCATACTTACTGGGCAGGCTCTCTCCACTTGAGCCATGCCCTCAGACTTTTTTGATTTAGTTATATGTTTTTGCTGCTGGCCTTAGGTGGTGACCTTTCTACCTCTACCTTCCATGTAGCTGTGAATACAGGTATATGCCACCATGACTTGTTCTTTAAAAGAAGGTCTTGGTAACTTTTTGCCTGGACCTGCCTTGAACCATGGTCCTCCTCCTATCGTTGCCTCCTGCGTAGCTGTGATTGCATGCCTGGCCCTGAAAGGGCACTTTAGCCAATATGAAGACAGAGGCAGTCTGATTTCTCTAGCCTGAGTCTGTTGGGTAAGAGGAGTTAAGTAGATTGCTATCTTTTAAGTTAGTAAAAGGGAAAATATTAAAGCTTGTTTCTTTGGAAAAGGGTACAATTTTCTCAACATGTCATTGCAATGTGATTTTGACAACTTGTTAGTCTTGCTTACCAGTACTCACCTCAGCAAAAATCAGATTTCTCATTCAGAAGGCCTCATAATCTCTGCTTCCTTTTGGTCTCAGCTTCTGGGTTGATGTGCTATTTTAGTGCATAATCATTTTCATTTAAATGAATATCACTTGATTATTGACCTATTTTATTAAAATCTTATTAGCCAGCCCCTCCCCCAGCCACACACACATATAACAGTGCCATACCAGAAATTGCACACAACAAACATTTAGGAGAAAAGGATAAGAATCACTTCAGAGTCAAGACCAAGCTAATCAACATGGAAAGAAGAAATGGCATCAGGAATGAGCAGAAGGTTAAAAAAAAAAAAGAAGAAGAAATAGCAATTGTACAAAGCTAATGACAGTGGGGAATAGGAATGGTTTTAAATAACCTTATTACCACTGCATAAAATCATATTCTCAGATAAGTCCTAGAAACAAAGCTAGGGATTTGCCTGTGGTTTCTCAACTGACCCCTCAAGGTCGGTTCCCCTTATTAATTTAAGTTACAATCCTGGGTACAATCTCATTGGGAACTAGCTGGGTTGCATCTAAAGATAATGAAACATTTATTGCTTAGTCTTTTCTTTGACTTCAATAGTCAGAACCTCTTCCCCAGCCTCAGCAGAAGGAGCCATACTAATGATGAGTGACTGAGGGGAAGTGCCTTTCGGTAGAACTGCCCTTCTAATCCACAGGGGCGTTTCCTCTCCTGTAGAAGAATTTGCTGTACATTTGCACCCATACAGTGTTTTCTGTCCTGGCTCTCTTCCTTTATCTTCATATTCTTCTTTATCTTCTCCTGCTTTGGCGTTTTCATTTTCTTTCTGGAAGAAGCAGTCACAAAGAATTCGTGGTGAAATTGAAATGAGGATATTGGAGTCACTGCCAAGACAAACACTGTTTGAATTAAATGCATGTGAGAATCATGTCTACCTTGCTTCCAACTATCATTTGACAGAGTTTTCTGGTGTGCTGGAGCATGGAGCTTAGCCTTTACATTGGATTTGCAGTGTTAGTCTATATTGTACTTTTGTCCCCGTCAAGGAATTCTCTTCCTATTGTTTTTCATGTACTTAGAATCATTAGACTCAGTACTCAGGACTCTTTGCCTTTCAAATTTTTGCTTGTTTTATTTAGTTTATAGAGCTTAAATTTAAAATTTTTATTTTTAATAAAAACTATTACCAAGTACTATATGAAGATACTATAACAAGTATGAATTTTTCCTCCTGCATGAGTTCATGGGAGAAACTCATATCTCTTTCTTAGTTCAATCATCTTCATTTGTCCCATTGGAACTTGAGCTGTCATTTTGGAACCATTCTATTCAGTATTATCTATAGAAATTTCATAGTAAAAACATACCATGATCTTTATTGGCAATGCTTGTGGTACACTTGTGAGAGGCTTGCCTGAAGTATGAACTTGCACAGGTAAAGTTGAGACTCTAACTTAATGTACTTACTCACACATTTCCTTATGTCTTTTTTGCAAATTGATATAAATGAGGCATTTGGTTTACATTGTATAACTTTTTTAAAACTATAGTATTGTGCATATGGAAAAGAAAGATGAACGTTTTATTCTCTTGAATGTGACTGACTTTTATCAAAGGTGATTTACTCATTTTCTGAAAGGTACACAGCTACCCATTTCCAATAGTGTTAGAGATAACATAATGACTAGATTCAGAAAACTTGAATTTGTGCTCTATTTCTCTACCTTCTCTCATAGATTTATTATGAAAATCAAAAAAAAAAAACCTAGAAAGAAAAAAAAGGAGGACAGACCAATAACATTTGGATATTTTTACATTCTAGGAATCAGAAGGCAGCTTATGGAAGTGAGCACTGAGCCATCATGTTTTTTGTTTTGCACTGTTAACTAGTTGTGATTTTATCCAAATTCCTTAATCTTAGTCTCAGTTTGTTCATCTATGACATGTAAGGACTGCAGGAAATCTGTGAGATTATTTCTGGCTTTCAACACATTTTTCATGTATATGAACTAAATAGTTGTGAAAATGTTTGCTGGCATATTGGCAACATGATTTATACAGTAATATTTCCATGTGCATACATTTGTCTGTACATATACTGTTGACTCTAATTACTCATGGTATTTTGTTTTATAAAGTTGCCACTAAGTACTGAATTTGCAAATATGAACCATTGCACCTAGGGGAAATACAGGGTTAGGTTCCTATGAGTCTTAGAGCACAACATTTTTTGTTAACTGATCAACATATAACTTCCTTTTGTGCATGTTTCTACTTGGGAGACACATATAATTTGATAAATTGATTAATTTTATGAGTTGTTGATTCATTACATTGAACTGTAGGCAGCAGCATTATATGACTAGTGTCTGAGTGGAGGTGATCTGACACACATATTTTCTCTGTAAGGTACCTCAAGGTGTTTTTGCACTTTAGGAACTTTAAAATCAACACTATTCTTGGAAGCCATTTCATGACAACAAAATCTCCAAAAAAAAAAAAAGAAATAAAAAAGGTACACAAATGAAAAAACAATGCACCAAATAGATTGAAAAAGGGTCACTTGTTTGCAGTATAGAGCTGAAGCGAGTAAGTAGAGTGAGGAACAAGAGGTCTTCCTTGGGAGTGTATGCATCAGACAGTTTTTGTTGTTGTTGTTGTTTTTGGGTTTTATTTTGCCACTCTACATATGCACTTGCCTATGAATGCCCACAAAATCATCATGAGTGTTTATTTGGAGGTTATAAATGAATTATAGTGAGTAGAGAGATTAACAAATACAGAATCTATGAATAATAAAGGTTGACTGCATTTATAAATACATATATATTTAGGTAACCTACAATAAACCTGTGATGGTATAAGGGCATAAAGTTTAAACAGTAATAAATTATCTATCTATCTCTCTGAAGCAATAATTATTAGCACCAGATTAATCCACATTATCCCAGTATCTGAGATAGAATTAGAATAGGAGCAGTTCAAGGCTCTCTCAATTACAATCATCCATTCACTCTGCCTTATTACCTGAACGGTTTGGTTTTTTTTCAGTTTGAGGAGTCTTCCAAGATCTGCTTTTCCTGTGCTTCCCAGGAGAGCTTTAAATATTTTAGGTGTCTCTTCTTTTGTTGGGAAGAGGAAGGCAAGTCCTTTTCTTGGAGGGGTTGCCTCTGTGGCCTTTCCCTTCTGCTTCAGAAGCACTCTGTGGACAGGAGATAAACATTGTTTTGGGTAGCTCTGTGAGAGTTTTGGCAAAATCTACCAGAAAAAAATAGTAATTTCTCCTACCTGTGAATTTTCAATGCATACTGCATTGACACTTGTGTTCCTTATCTCATGGAAAAAGCTGACTGCAATTTTAACACACTGATCCTCATCCTAGGGTTTCAAAAGTTGTACCTGGCTTTCCTCATGAGGAGCTTTTCAGAATCTGGGTAATGCAGCAGAATTTCTTGGAGGGTTTTTTTGTCTAGAGTTAAAAGATTGGCAAACCCACGTGCCACCACGTCAGCAGTCCTACGGTTTCCTCCTCCGGTTGCCAGAAGGCTGTAAGAGAGAAAAGTGTATCTTGGCCACCAGTTTCCCTCTTCCTCCACTGAGATCTTTAAAGAAAATAAATAGCAAATAGCATAACCACTTATGCCCAGAGCAGTTTTTCCCCATTATGCAGGCCTCATGTACAGGGAAAAATACTTTGCCAGAGTCTTTTCCCACCTGACGGAATAACATTGTGTCCAGTGTAGCCCTCAGGACTTTTTGTCCTAGCTAAGGGAGATGGGAAGCTGAGAAACTCCTGTAAGGTTGCAACCTGGAGATACGTATCCGAAAAGACTGAGACTTAATCATTTTAAGATGAGATTTGAGATGTTTCTCTCCCCTGCAGTTTACCTTTATATCAAGAGGACTCCCATGTAAGGACAGTGAATTGCATCTGAAACAGCTGCGAGAGGCAAACTTTTCCCTGAGGAGGAGAACTTAAGGAAGCGGTCTTCGGGGGAGACAAAAGCAAGGACACAGGCATCTGAAACTTCTGGCACCTACAGCTTTGGCAAATATTAAACATACCCCAACTCCTAGTCAGGTTAGTTTAAATTTCACATTATAGGTCTACTTACCTCAGATCCTTTTATCTATTACATCTTTTTGACTTTGAACTATAACAATTACAAGGAATGATAAAAGGCAAGAAAAAATACAGTCTGAGAAGACAAAGCAAGTGTTAGAAACAGTCTGAGATAACAGACCTTTTGGAATTCCTGGACAGCGAATTAAAAAACAATGATTAATGATAAGGAATCCAATAAAAAAGTAGACATTATGAAGAATAGATGAGTCATATAAACAGAGAGATGGAAATTCTAACAAAGAATCAGAAGGAAATGCTAGAAATCAAGAGCACTGTAACAGAAATAAAGAATGCCTTTGACTGGCATTCAGTAGGCTGGCCTTGGAAGAATCAGTGAGCTTGAAGATAGGTCAGTGACACTTTTGGGACTGAAATACAGAGGAATAAACAGAACTGTTTATTATTTAAAATAAAGTTATTTATTATTTATAAAGAAATATGGGGTGATTTTGAAAGCTGAAACATACATGTAATGGAATATTCATCCCCCTCACTGCCTTCTCTTGCTGCTGCTCCCCTTCCTTCTCTGGTCCTCTTTCCCCATTATTTTTCTTCTTATTAATTTATCTAAAAGATAATTGCTTAAATAATAAAGTGGCAGAGTATGTGGTAATAGTAGCATATGGGTACATGAAATGAATGACAACAATGTTATAAGGGCTGGGAGGAGAGAATTGTGAATGTTCTGTCATAAGGTAGCAGTTCTACATGTGAAGTGGTGTTATATGCAGATAGACTTAGATTAGTTTAAAATGTATAATGAAAACTTCAGGGCAGCATTAAACTTTCATTTTTGAGTCATAGTCTTACTATGTAGCCAAGGCTGACCTTAAATTTGCAATCCTCCTTCATATACTTTTGAAGTGTGGGGATTACACATGTGTACCATGACAGGTGGCTAAGTAAAACTATTATGCTAAAAGAAGAGATAAAAACGAATCATATAAAGTGTTCAATTAATTGATTTGCCTACTGAATAACAAATGAACTGAAACAAATGAACTGAACAGACAATTCTCAAAAGAAGTAAAAATGGCCAATAAATGCATGAAGACATTCTCAATCTTGGTCTTAAAGGAAATACAAATCAAAATGCCATTGAGATTTTACCTCAGTCTAGTCAAAATGACTATCATTAATAACAAACAACAGCCAACACTGGAGAGGATGCAGATAAAAGGTACAATTACCCACTGTTGGTGGAAATGTAAATTGGTGTAACTGCTATGGAAAACAGTGTGGAGGTTCCTGAAAAAACTACAAGTAGATCTAGCATACGATTCAGTGATATCACTCCTGGGCATATAAGCAAAGGAATGTAAGCCAGGATATAATAGAGCTACTTGCACACCCATGTTTATTGTAGTGCTATACACAATATCCAAGCTTTGGAAACAGTCCAGATGAATGAACTAAGAAAATATGGTATACACAGTGGAGTAATATTCAGCCATAAAGAAGAATGAAGTTATGTTGTTTGTAAGTAAATGGATAGAGCTGGAGATGATCAATTTAAGCAGAGTAAGCCAGGCTCAGAAGGACAGTGATCACATGTTTCCCCTCAAAAGTGGGAGCTAGATCTGTAAGAAAAAAATGCATACATAAATACTTATGTGATCATATATATATATTACGATTATATTAGTGAGTCTGTCTAAGGGGACTATGGGGAGGCAAAAGAAGAAAGGAGCATGATAGACTGTAAGTTGTAGAATAATAGGGGAGCAGTGTGATAGAGAAAGAGTAAGTAACAGAGTGGGCTAACCTAATTAAGTTATGATATATACATTTGTGAAATACCAAGGTGAAATCCCCTTGAATAATCAATATACACTTTAAAAAATGAAGAACAGTAAGGTAAAATAAGTCCTGTTTGGGGATGGGTACCAGTGGGAGGGGGAGGGGAAAGGGAGAGGGTGGAAGAGGGCATGTGTACTTCCTATGCATGTATGAAAATGGAGCAATGAAACTTTTTCTAAGAAGGGGGGAGGAAGAATTAGGGAGAATGATAGAGGGAATGAATCAAATTAAGAATAATATAAGCGCATATGTAAATGTCACAATGTATTCCCCACACATAAAATTATTATATGCTAATACAGTTTTAAAAAGTGCTCACTTGAAATCAGAGCAAGAAGCTGGGCATCTAAATCCCACACTCAGGATGCTGAGGCAGGAGGCCGCTGCGTTGAAGGCCAGCCTGGGCTGTGTAGTGATACCCTGTCTCAACAGGACAAAGCAAAGGACAGCAAAAAAAAACAAAAAACAAAAAAAATCCAAAATCCAGAGTAAGAAGGAAAGAAAAGAGGGGAAAATCCTAATGTAAATCTACCTATGACATCAAACTTGGCTCCTTAACTGCGTCTAATATTAAAAATGGAGGGAGGGCAGTCTGGGACTGTCCAGACAATTTAAGAGAGGAGTTACTCTTCCAAGACAGAAAGAATACATTTGGAATCCTTCAGTGTAACTATATTAATGCTACTTATTTTGCTCAACAATTTTAACTTTCAAGTCTTTTGTTCTATGGCAAAAGAAAAAAAGAACTTTAGTCCTTTTCCAAAGTTCTTTCTAAGACAAGCTCTGCTTTGTTAGAGAAGAGAAACAAAATTTACTCCAACTATCATCTATCTAATATTCTATCTATCATCTATCTATTTATCATCAGTCATCACAATCATCTTTTCACTCACTCATCTACCCAAATTCCTATATGCCTTCCTACCTCTCTAGGAGATGGGTATTAATATTTAAGGGACAATGATTGGATATGTCTATTTCATTCACATTCCTGAAGCTTTGAACACTGGGTAGGCAGGGCAGGATGGCATTGGGAAACTTAATTTGAACCTAAGAGAGCCTCTGTGAGTATGTCACACTATAAGAGGAGAATGGAAATAACATACTTAAATGTCAGGTTATTTTGAGATTTCTCAAGCTTTAATTAAACTTGCCTACAGGTTACATGTTTGGAGTGTTTGATGAGGTTTTGAGCAGAAGAAATAGTCTGTCTGCCAGATGGATTTTGCCCAAATTCTCTCAGCAATGTTTAAAATAGCATCTTCTTTTTCCCTTTTGCCCAAAAAATGCTTCTCAAGCATTCCACCAATGGAAAGTTTCACTCAATAAATTGCTTAGTAAGAATATCCCTAAATATTCCCACCCCACACAGAGTTCCTCAGAGAGCCCAGGACAAATAATAGAGGTTAATGTTTAATATTCTGGGTAAAAAGAAGTGTAAGTTGAGGAATGTCCCAGGAAACAAAGAAATTGGTTCTAATCCTAGATCTACCTCTAATTTCTGTGACCTTAGACTCAAGGATGTTTTTGATTTTTCAATTCAGTCAAGTAAGTATTGATTAAGTCCCTAGCACAGTGAGATGAAGTAAGGGAAGAGGAGATTTACTAAAGCATGATATGGTTTTATGCAAAGAAATTCTTTGAAACCGAAGGACGTTTTTTGTGTTTTTGAGCAAGTTACTAAACTCTCTGTAGGAAACAAAGTCATCTTCAGTATCTACCATAGGAGGTTATCTTTAAGAACTAGCTGATCCAGGCATGGTGGTACACCCCTGTAATCCCAATACTCAGGAGGCTGAGGCAGGAGAATTTAGAGCTTAAGGTCAGTCCCTGGCTACGCAGTGAGATCCTATTTTGCAAGATAAACAATCAAACAAACAAAAAAGCCAAGGATATGGTTTACTTGGGAGGCACAGGCAGAAGGATCTCAAGTTTGAGGCCGGCCCAGGTCAAAGGTAGTGAGACCCTGGCTCAAAAACAAACAAACAAACAAACAAAAATCAAAAGGGGCTACAAGCACAGCTCAAGTGGAGAGCAATTGCCTAACATGTGTCAGGTCCTGGGTTCAGTCCCTGGTACTGTAGTAGACGAAAAAAAACTGTTCATAGACTTGTGATACTGAATTATGAAGAAAGTGAAATGAAAATTTATGAGAGTTTTAATACTTAGTTTGTAATGTGTAACTGGACATTAAGCTTCTTGTTTAATACTATTGTGCCAAAGCTGGATGAGTGAACCAAAGTAGTTGTGTGAATATCTCAGACAGACAATGTGAGAAAACCTGTATCTGTAAATGTCAGAGTTGCTACTTGGACACACACACCTCACACTGTTATGGTTTGACAGTGTTCCCCAAAGTTCATGTATCAGAATGTTAATTCCCAAATTCATATGTTAATGGCATTTGGAGATGGTGCTTTTGGTAGATAATTAGGATTATTTGAGGTCACAAATGGCCTCCAAGAAGGTACTGGCTTTATAAGAAGAGCCAGCCTGCTTGCTGTGTCTCACCATGTGATATGATAGCCTTTGTGGTGTGAAGATGTAGTAAGAAGCTCTCTCCAGATGTTGAGAAGGTGCTAATCCTCTGCTCTTAGACTTCATTGTTAGGGAGAACTTC